TAAGATCTTTGAAATTTTAGAGCTGGGTCGTGCATAGGCTGAGTTTTAATGGACTCTCTGGGGGGAAAAAAAGCTTCTGACTACAAAAAGAAAGTAATTTCCTTATTTTGCAAGAACTAATTTTTTTTGGAGAGGACAAAGAAAATAATATTTAATAAACTCATTATATTCATTGAAGTAACTTTTTTAGAAGCATGCCCTGTGCCCAATACCATGCTAGACACTGAGATACAAAAATGAAGACGACATGTATCTTGTTGTCTAGCCTAGTGGTGGAGAAAGAGAAGCAAAGAAATGGTACAATAGACGCAACCAAAGAACGTACTAAGAAGTTAGAAGTAAGACAGTGAAAAGTGAGGTTAGAGGGATGAACAGAAACTGTGTTGCAAAGATTTGGGACTTAGATTTGTGAGTGATGTACAGCCACTAAACAGAAGTGATCATCAGATTTAATTTTAGAAGGATCATGCTGTTATCAATATGAAGAATGGGTTGCAGAGGGGAGACATCAAAGGCAGGATGAGTTCCAGTCTTCATAAAAATCACTCCACTACATTCTGATACATCCCTTTCTGTTCTCCAATCCATTTCCTCTTATCCCCCAGACACATGATTTAGAAATTATCTAATCTTTTAAAAGTGCTATTTAGTTTCCAACTATTTGAGGCTTTCCCAGATATCTGTTATTGATTTCTAATTTATTTCCACTGTGGTCAAGAGAACATACTTTGCATGACTTGAATCCTTTTATGTTATGGAGACTTGTTCCATGGCTCAGAATGTGGTATATCTTGGTACACATTCCACGTGTTCTTGAAAAGAATGTGTAATCTACAGTTGTTGGGTATGGCTATGTTCTATAAATGTCATTTTCATCAAGTTGGTTGATAGTCTTATTCAAGTCTTCTATATCCTTACTAAGATTCTTTTTTCCTGTTAAGTCTTACATTAAAATTGAGCCTATGCATAATGTAGCTCTAAAATCTGTCTTCTTATTCTATCAAACACTGAAAGAGGTTTTCAAATCTCCAACTATAATTGTAGATTTGTCAATTTCTCCTTATAGTTTTATCAGTTTTTACTTCAAGTATTTTGAAGCTGTTATTAGGTGAACAAGCATTTAGGATTTTTGTGTCCTCGTGCTGAACTGACTCCTTTAGCATTATGAAATAATCTTTATCCCTGATAAAGGGATTGCTCTGAAATCGACTTTGCCTGATTTTCTTAATTTTTTTTTATTGGGGTATAGTTGTCTTACAATGTTGTGTTAGTTTCTACTGTACAGCGAAGTGGAGTTCCCTGTGCTACACAGCAGGTTCTCATTAGTTATCCATTTTATACATATTAGTGTATATATGTCAATCCCAATCTCCCAATTCATCTCCCCCCCGCTGCTGCTTTCCCCCCTTGGTGTCCATACATTTGCTCTCTACATCTGTGTCTCTGTTTCTGACCTGCAAACCGGTTCATCTGTACCATTTTGCCTGCTATTAATATAGCCACTCCTGCTTTCTTTTGATTGGTGTTAATATGGTATATCTTTCTCTACCCTTTTACTTTTAATGTCCTTTATTTTCAACATGTGGTTTTTGTTGGTAGCATATAGTTGGGACTTGTTTTTTTCATCCAATCTGACAAGTTCTGCCTTTTGAGGTATTTAGAATATTTATCTTTAAATCACTTGAAAAGATAATTGGCTGTTTAAGCAAAAATAGTTAAGTGTGAAGCTTATAGCATATGTAGATGTAGAATGTGAGGCCCCAACAGCACAAAGGCAAGAAGAGAGAAATAGAAGTTTTTCATTGTAAGGTTCTTAAACTACGTCATGTGGTATATCACTTGAATGTAGGTGGGTATGTTAAAGATGTATATACTATAACCCTAAAGCGATCACTGAAATAAAAGAGTTACAACTAATAAGCCAACAAAAGCGATAAAAGGGAATCATGAAAAAAATACTCAATCTAAAAGAAAGTAGAAAAAGAAGAAAAAAAGAACAAAGAACAAATGGTACAAATAGAAAACAAATAGCAAGATGATAGATTGAATCTAACCATATCAATAATTACATTAAATGTAAATGTTCTAAACACCCTGATTAAATGGTAATGATTGTCAGATTAGGTAAAAGAGCATATGAAACACTCATCAGGTACTGAGCTAAGTACCTTACATAGTCTCATTAAGTCCTCTTTTTTTTTTTTAATTTATTTTAATTTATTTTTGGCTGTGTTGGGTCTTTGTTGCTGCACGTGGGCTTTCTCAAGTTGCGGCGAGTGGGGGCTACTCTTCGTTGCAGTGCGCAGGATTCTCATTGTGATGGCTTCTCTTGTTGCGGAGCATGGGCTCTAGGCACGTGGGCTTCAGTAGTTGTGGCATAAGGGCTCAGTAGTTGTGGCTCACGGGCTCTAAAGCACAGGCTCGGTAGTTGTGGCGCATGGGCTTAGTTTCTGCACGGCACGTGGGATCCTCCCAGACTAGGGCTCAAACATGTGTCCCCTGCATTGGCAGGTGGATTCCCAACCACTGCACCACCACGGAAGCCCCCATTTAGGTTCTCTTAACAATCATGAGGTTATCATCATGTCCTCATTTCAAATATTTAACAAATGAGCCTCAGAGAGGTTAAGTAACTTCTCCAAGTAGCAAAGCAGGGAATCACACTTGGGCACTGCAGAGTGCTAGTAAGTCTGTATGTAATACTTGCTTCCTTCCCCTCCCTCCAGTTCAACAGCATTGAGTACCTGCTACATGGAGGAACTGTCCCAGGAGCTGTGCCACAGGACAACTCTGATAACTGTTTGGGATGAAATCCAGCTTAACCAACCGAGTGACCACAGGCTGTGTATTATACTTCCTTAAGCTCTAGTCTCCTCATTTGTAAAATGGAATTAAGCATACCTGCCTCATAGTGTTGTTGCGATGATAGATTCAGAAAGTCCAGTGGATAGTGTGTGTCACGTGGGGGTGGTGAACTGCTTTTGGTACTTCAACCTGCACCCTGCAGATGACACAAGAAATATCAATTGGTACAATTCCATGTAAAAACCAAAAGAGTATTAGAGAAGAGTGACATTCACTGTCTTCCTGTTTGACCTGCAGCACTACAGAAATAGACCACAGAGGCCTCATTTTTAATTTCCAGCATTATATGAAGTTTGGGTTTCTTCTTTGAGAATCTTAGCAATGCAATGAATCAGTCTTCTTCTAGAGAAACCTTTCAACTCAACTATTACATTTATGAATTAATTTTGTTTTCCTGGAGTAAAAGTGTCAATCTTATTTGTTTTTCAGATTAAGGGGTTTAGATTCCTTACACTTTCACTTTCATACTGGACACCTACACTGGGGACCTGGAAGGAATAACTTCAACTTAGGTTGTATTAATATTATTATAACAATAATTAAAAAAAGAATTTACACAAGCATTATCTTATATCTGATATATTAATATAGAAATTAAAAAATCAAAATGCAGTCCTGGGAGTTAAGCAGACAAAAAAATAAAAACAAAACAATCAAACCACATATAATTCCAGCATCACACAGAACCTTTAAATATATTTTCTTTCAAAAGAGAAAATCAATTAAAAAAATTGTTTAGATACAACATGACTGTCAGCAGAGCAGGAAGCCAATCAGTCTTTCAATATCATAGCACTGCTTTTCCAAGTAAAATAACTGAAAGACACAAAATTTCAAAGATATTTTATTCAAAATTCTCCATCTAGGAGAAAAGATATATAACAATGTGCACACATGCTTTAATAACTTATTTCACTGTACAACTTGCATCCCATACAATGGTACAATAAATCAGCAAAAGAAAATAATTAGCACTTAAATAATCTATCATGTAAATAGCACTGAATACACGGTTCAACAAGGTGGAATCTGTACATTTTTTCATGACTGAGCCAGAGCATCTGTCAATCTAGTTGAGTATGTGTCTAAAAATCGAGATGTCTACACCTTTATTAGTGATGTGAAAGGCTATTAGGACCTATGTTGGTTTTGGTTAAATTTGGTGGGTGAGGGCAGAGGGGCTCTATCACTTTTATCCCTTTCTTATAAATACTCTTTCC